TCCTGATTTGGGAAGCTAAGCATCTTTACATGTGTTTGTTGGCCATTAGTATGTCTTCTTTTGAAAAATGTCTATTTAGGTCTTATGCTCAGTTTTAATTGGGTTATCAGGTCTTTTGCTATTGAGTTGCACATATATATTTTGGGTATCAACTCCTTATCAGAAATATGGTTTACAAATATTTTCTACCATCTATAGGTTGTCTTTCCACCCTGTTGATTGTTTCCTTTGCTAGATAGCATTTTTTTTGATGCACTCCCATTTGTCAATTTTTGCTTTTGTTGCCTGTGTTTTGGGGTCATATTTAAAAAATTATTCCCCAGAGCAATGCCAAGAGGCTTTTTTCCTATGTTTTCTCCTAGTTATTTTACAGTTTCAGGTTTTATATTTAAGCCTTTGGTCCATCTTGAGTTGACTTTTGTATGTGGGGTGAGATAAGGATCTAATTTCATTCTTCTACATATGAGTGTCTAGTTTTTTAATACCATATACAGGCATAACTGAGATACTGCAGGTTCGATTCCAGATCACTGAAATAAAGCAAATATTGCAATATTGCAAAGCCAGTCAGATTAATTTTTTTGGTTTCTCAGTGCATATAAAAGTTATATTTACACCAAAATGTAGTCTATTAGGTGTGCAATAGCATTACATCTGTAATAGTGTCCATACCTCAGTTTAAAAATACTTTACTGCTAAAAAATACCAACCACCACCTGAGTTTTCAGCAGGTTGTAATCTTTTTGCTGGTGGAGTCTTGCCTCAATGTTGATGGCTGCTGACCACCACAGTGGTGGTTGCTGAATGTGGGGGTGGCTATTACACTTTCTTAAAGTAGGACAATTAAGTTTGCTACATCAATTGGCTCCTCTTTTCACAAATGACTTCTCTGTAACATACAATGCTGCTTGATAGCATTGTACCCACAGAACTTTTTTCAAAATTGGAGTTGATCCTCTCAAACCCTGCTGCTCGCTTTATCAACTAAGCTTATGTAATGTTCTAGATTCTCTATTGTCATTTCAATAGCCTTCACAGCCTCTTCACCAGGAGGAGACTCCATCTCAAGAAACCACCTTCTTTGCTCATCCATAAGAGGCTCCTCATCCTTTCAAATTTGACCATAAGGCTGCAGCAATTCAATCCCATCTTCAGACTCCATTTCTAATTTTAGTTCTCTTGCTACTTCTACCACATCTGCAGTTACTTCCTCCACTAAAATCTTGAACCCCTCCAAGTCATTCATGAGGGTTGGAATCAACTTCTTCCAAACTCCTGTTCATGTTGATATTTTAACCTCTTCCTGTAAATCATGAATGTTCTTAATGACATCCAGAATGGTGAATCCTTTCCAGAAGGTTTCAATTTACTTTACCCAGATCCATCCGAGGAATTATTATCTTGCACAATGATAGCCATATAAAATGTATTTCTTAAACAGTAAGACTTGAAAGTCAAAATTACTTTGATCCATGGGCTGCAGAATGGATGCTGTGTTATGAAACACAGGCATGAAAACAACATGAATCTCATCATACATCTCTATCAGAACTCTTGGATGATCAAGTGTATTATGGCCTATCTCAGTTTTCAACATGCCTTCCTCACTAAGCTTCATCATTTCTAACTTCTGATTTAAAGTAAGAGACATGCGGCGCCTGGGTGGCTCAGTTGGTTAAGCGACTGTCTTTGGCTCAGGTCATGATCCTGGAGTCCCGGGATCAAGTTCCACATCGGGCTCCCTGCTCAGCGGGGAGTCTGCTTCTCCCTCTGACCCCCCCCCCCTCAGGCTCTCTCTCTCATTCTCGCTCTCAAATAAATAAAATCTTTAAAAAAAAAAAAAGTGAGAGACATGTGACTCTTCCTTTTACTCAGAGTCACTACTGGGTTCTTAACTGGCCGAATTTCAATATTGTTGTGTCTTGGATAATAGGGAGGCCTGAGGAGAGAGAGATGACATAACAGTCAGTGAGCAGTCAGAACACAACATTTATCAATTAAGTTTGCTGTCTTACACGGGCATGGTTCATGGTGCCCCCAAACAATTACAAGAGTAACATCAAAGATCACTAATCACAGATCACTATAACAAATAATGAAAAAGTTTGAAAAATCACAAGAATTACCAAAATATAACACAGAGACATAAAGTGAGCAAATGCTGTTGGAAAAATGGCACCGACAGGCTTGCTCTATGTGGGATTGCCACAAACTTTCTACTTGTAAAAAACTATCTGTGAAGCACAATAAAGCAATGTACAATAAAACAAGGTATGCCTTATTAAGGAGACTATCCTTTCTTCATTGTATATTCTTGGCCCCCTTGTTGAAGATCAGTTGACCACAGATGTGTATATTTATTTCTAGGCTCTCTATTCTATAGTCTCAATGGTTTTATATGTCTGTTTTTATGCCAATACCATACTGTTCTGATTACTATAGCTTTGTAATATATTTCCAAATCAGGGAGGGTGATGCCTCCAAGCATTGCTCTTTCTCAAGCTTGCTTTGGCTATTTGGAGTCTTTTGTGGTTCCCTATAAATTTTAAAATGGAATGCCACTAGGATTTTGATAGGGATTACCTTTGTAGACTTGCAGATCACTTTAGCTAGTATGGACATTTTAACAGTATTAATTCTTCCAATTCACAAGCACAGGATGTCTTTCCATTTATCTGTGTCCACTTTAGGTAGTATGGACATTTTAACAGTATTAAATATTCTTCCAATTCACAAGCACAGGATGTCTTTCCATTTATCTGTGTCTTCTTCATCAATGTTTTCTAATTTTCACTGTAAAAGTCTTTCACTCTGTAAATTACATTTTTACTGTCAATTAACCATCTTTGTTTGTTTTTGTTAGCTTTATTGAGGTAGAAATGACAAATAAAACTTTAATATATTTCATGTGGACAACATGATGATTTATGTATACATTGTGAAGGGATTCCTACAACTGAGTTAATTAATGCATGTATCACCTTTTTTTTTTTTTTTTTTTTGGTGAAAACACTTAAGTTCTACTCTCTTATCAAGTTTCAATTATATAATAGTTACAACTGTACTCACCATTTTATATAGATTCTCAGACTTTATCTTATAACTGAAAGTTTGGACTTTTTATTAACCTCTCCTGATTTTCCCCACCCCTCAGCCCCTGGCAACCATCATTCTACTCTGATTCTGAGTTCAACTTTTGTTTGCATGGTATCACTTATAGGTGGAATCTGTAAGAATCTTTCTTTGTCTTGCTATTTCACTTAGCCAAGTTCATGTATGTTGTTGCAAACGGCAAGATTTCCTTTAAGGCTGAATAATATTCCATTGGTATATATATGTCACATTTTCATTCATCCATTGACAGACATTTAGGCTGTTTGCATACCTTGGCTATTATGAATAATGCTGTAATGAAAATGGGAATACAGACATCTCTCTGAGATAATGACTTTGTTTTCTTTGGATATATATATCCAAAAGTGGCACTGCTGGATCATGTAATAGTCCTATTTTTAATTTCTTGAGGAGTCTTCATACTGTTTCCCATAGTGGCTATGCCAGTTTATATTTTGACCAACAACAAGAGTTCCCTTTACTCCACATCTTCACCAGCATCTTACCATTTTGATAATAGCCATCCTGGCAGGTGTGAGGTGATATCTCACTGCGGTTTTTATGGCATTTCCCTGATGATTACTGAAATTAAGCATCTTTTTATGTGCCTATTGGTCATTTTTGGTTATTAAGTTGTATGAGTTCCTTGTATGTTTTGGATATTAATCCTGTAATGGTTATGTAATTTGCAAATACGTTCACCCATTCCACAGAATGCTTTTTCATTTTGCTCATGGTGTCCCATGTTGTGCAGAAGTTTTTTAGTTTGATGCAATCCCACTTGTTTATTTTGGCTTTTGTTGTCTTTGCTTTTGGTGTGAAATCTAAAAAACTGTCACCAAGACCAGTGTAAAAGAGCTTACCCCATATGCTTTCTTCAATGGGCTTCATAGTTTTAGGTCTTATGTACAAGTGTTTAATCCATTTTGAGTTCAATTTTGTGTATGGGGTTAGATAGGAGTCTAGTGCACCTTTTGCATGTGGCTATCCAGTTTTCCAAACACAATTTATTGAAGAAACTATTCCTTTCCTCACTTTGTGTTCTTTGTGCCATTATCCATAACTAATTGGCCATATATGCATAGGTTTATTTCTGGACTCTCCACTGATCTTTTTTTAAAATGCCAATACCATACTATTTTGATTACTGTAGCTTTGTAATATATTTGAAATCAGGAAGTGTGATGCCTCCAGCTTTGTTCTTTTTTCTCAAGATTGTTTTGGCTATTTGGGGTCTTCTGTGGTTCCATGTGAATTTTAGGATTGTTTTCTCTACTTCTGTGAAAAATACCTTTTGAATTTGATATGGATTGCAATGAATCTGTAGATTGCTTTAGGTAGTACAGACATTTTAACATTAATTCTTCCAATCAATCAGCACAGAATATCTTCTCACTTATTTGTGTGTTCTTCAATTTCTTTCATTGATATTTTATAGTTTTAAGTGTACATCTCTTTCACTTCCTTAATTTATTCTTAAATATTTTATTCTTTTTCATGTTATTGTAAATGGAGTTGCTTGCTTTCTTGTGGTTTTCTTTTCTTGAGGTGTCTTTGTCTGGTTTTGGTGTCAGGGTTAACGCTGGCCTCATAGAATGAGTTTGAAGAATTCCTCTTCCATTTTTGGAAGATTTTAAGAAGGAAGAATTCATCTTTGAACGTTTGGTAGACTTTACCATACTGCCATCTGGTCCTAGTCTTTTAAAAAGGAAATATTCTTACATATGACAGGAATTATTCAAGACAGGCATAAGGTACACATTGCTGAGAAAAATCTGTGGATTTTAATTCATTAGAGATACTTAAAAACAAAGGAAGATGGTAACTTATTCAGAATTATTTAGATACAATTTGAACAGACCAATCTTTTGCCACCTAATACTTACCATTAGCCAGCATACCAATTTTCTCTTCTTCCTAAATTAAAAGAAAATATGATTTGAAATCAAAATTATGTAAAATGCCCACAATGCAAATAATAGCAAAATCTGAAAACCTGTGTTTTACTCCACTATGAAAAAGTCAAGAAATGTACTTTCTAGGTTTCTTTCATCACCCTCATTCACTAATAATTCTGTAAGACTGAGAACGTAGCTGTGAAAGAACTTCTAGAAGTTTCTTCAGAACTGTAGCAATTACCAATCCCTTTAGGCCTTTAAAAGCTTTGTTTAAAGTATCTAGATGCCATTTGCTCATCCACCTTGCTCAGAAATTCTATTTTTTGAACTCCAAGATAACATGAATACTTTACATAAGATTCTTGCTATTGTAACATCAATCATTTTTCTTTTATTGTTCAAAATTAATGATCAAATATAACTTGTATTCTGTTTCACCTACATTTTGAGAAACAAAATTTTCAAAGAGGCAGGCCACCAAATGGCAAGATAGTTGAAATTTGTCAAAATTATAAGTTCCTAAAAAAAATTGTAAGTTCCCTTAGAGTAAGTTTTATAATTAGTGTCACCTATGTTCTCCACTTGGATAGGCAATGTGTACATTTATACTGACACATTTTTATGCAGGCTATATTTTCTTGATATATCAAACCACTGTGCCTTCTACTGACCTATCTTTCATAAAACATTGAAACTGCCACATTCCAAGTATAAATCCCATTAAGCTTCTAAGGATAACCAGCAGATCACATTAATCTTCATGTACTTCTAAAGGTTTTCTTATTTTCCCCTCCAAACTGAGTGATGTAGAGAGACCCAGTGACAAAGCACCAGGTATATTTAAAAATAAGTATTTATTAATACCTGGATAGTATTTCTTACTTCTATTTAGACACCTATGGTTTCACACATGTTTAAAACATCTAGTCCTAACATGCAGTCCCAAAAGAGACCTCACTTGTACAGATCAAGACCAACATAACAAATAGTAATTATCCTACTAGTTAGTTACTATTAGGTAGCTTCAAGGATAAGTTCTATATGTCAGGCAATATGTAGTAATACACTTAGCCAATATTTGTAAGAACTGAGAAAAAAGAGAATTGGAGTACAGCAACAACTGACTATGAATGGAATAATTTAATTCATGATCTTAGCCAAGTAAGTTTCAGACAGTAATGTCAGTTAGCATAAATACTGATTGTACTTCCCAAGGACAAGATCTACCAAAGAAGATGTAGCTTAATATACCTGTTTAAAAATTAGATTTGAGATTTCAATTAAAATTTTAATTTCTAAAACTTAAAGAAGTTACTTGCCAAAAAGATCCTTTAAAAAATCAATTGCCATATTTCATTCATTAAGATTTACATTAAATTGACATCCTGAATTAAGAAAATGTCTGAGTGTTAAGAGACTTACAACTTTACAACAATGAGCAAGACAATGACAAACTCCATATTTTGAACTCTTCATATAGTGACAGTCAGCTAAGGTGATGACAGAAGTTTCAAAATTGTCAAATATATAATTGATGTATACCTGTTTGGGTACGTATAGTTTTTCAGATTTGGGATTTTCTTTGGTATTAATCTCTTCTTGAGTAGTCAAAGGTGCATCAATATCCTCCTCACCTTCAAAATCATCACTGTAATTTTCTGAAGAAAATAATTTTTAAAAATACAAGGATCACACTATCAAAAAAGTCATATTCCAGGAAAAGACTATTGATTTCCAAAGGAAGGAGTCTGCATAAGAATAATTTATTGAAATATTAACATAAAGCTATCTTTAGAGGACATACTTTTTGGGGGGGAAGATTTTTTGTGTGTGTGAAGATTTAATGAGAATTCAATTCATAAGACTTAGGTTTACTTCACTTATACTTTCAAATACTTATAAGAGTTTTAAATTTTTAATGTTTTATATTATTAACTAATTAAACATTTCTAGAGCTGTCCAAAATTTTTTTTATCTTTAAACCAAAGTTTAATGCTTATTTTTTAAAGACAAAGTCTCAAATAGCTTACTTACAAAAGGCAGCACTTCTGTGAAATCTTGACATTCTTAAACAAAAGGTTGGATTTGCTTATTTTTTTAAAGTTGATTTTTTTGGTCTCTGTAGGTATCTCTAATGTAAGCCTGAAACAGTACTTATGAAAGCTTTATCTCTAATCCTTCCATCAGGTAAATACTGGTTCTATATGATCTCTATTATTTCCCAATCCTGGGCACTTCTCAGCTTAAATCCCAAATTATATCTCAGTGAATTTACACCAGAAGGGAAAGGTGTGTCCATGTTAACATGATGCCATAACACTACTTATGGGGAAGGTGGGGTAGGGGCTATCTGGCCAGGATCTCTAAGCCAATTTTTAACGTGTTGTTTATAGCCCTTAAATCAAAGGACAGACAGAGATCTGTGACCTTTTCAGAGTGGAAACCATCATTTCATAAATAAACATAATCTTAATTGTATTTTAAAAATTAGATCACATTCAGAAACAGGATGGCCTGATGAAAGAAAGATGTACGAGGTACTAGAGGGTCTGCTCTGGAGTGGCTGTCTTTTCTTAGAATGGAGTGCAGAACCTGAGTGCAATTAATAATGAAAGTCTGGGAATGAATTTGAGAGGGCTTAGAAGTTAAACAGAGATGGTCCCAGTGACATCGACCTACAGAAACATCTCCATTTTAGTTCATAAGGAAGACAAGGTGGGTATTGTACCTTAGGTAAATAAACTAGCTTAGTTAGTTAACTACATCAATATCTATATTCTGAGGCTGAGAAGCTCACCTTTGTTTCTCTTCCGTATGAGAAAGAACAGTTTCAGATTTTCTAAATATCAGCAGACATAATTAAATTCACAGAACAGTTATCAAGATATTATTTTGTATTAGACATACTTCTAGGTGCTAGAACCAATACAACATGATTAAAATTCTAATGTTCTAGGTGGGAATCACTGAATTTTAAGTAACCTCAAAGATCAGACTTATTTAAGTATAGATGATGAACAAGGAGAGAGGAAATATGGGAGGCTATGACAATGAACTTAGACAAGTACATGGGATTTGAGAACTATTTGAAATCAATGGAAAGGGAAGTAGTATTTGTGTGACTACAAAGAGGCAGTGTAAGAAACAGTTTAGATAGTACAGCACAGTGCTAAGAGCATGACTAGGAGCCAGAAGGCTTGGATTTAATTCCTGGTTCTACTACTTTTAGCATAGAAACACTGCCAAGTCACATACCCTCTTTACCTCATTTTTTCCCATCTGTAAAGTGGGGATGATAATAGTACTTATCTCAAAGGACTGCTGAGAAGATTAAGAGTTAAAGTGTTTAGAACAGTGGCTTGTGGGGCGCCTGGGTGGCTCAGTCGTTAAGTGTCTGCCTTCGGCTGAGGTCATGACCCCAGGGTCCTGGGATCGAGCCCCACATGGGGCTCCCTGCTCTGCAGGAAGCTTGCTTCTCCCTCTCCTACTCCCCCTGCTTGTGTTCCCTCTCTCGCTGTGTCTCTCTGTCAAATAAATCAATAAAATCTTTAAAAAAAAAAAAAAAGAACAGTGGCTTGTATATAATATGCCCTATTCATAAGCGTTAGCCATTACATTTAGTAGTAATAATTACTTTTGTTAGTATTATTATAACTAGTGTTGCATTTAATCTGAATCATAAGTTAATAAGGCCAAATATTATTTCTGAATGGGGAAAGTGCTAATGTGTATTTTTCAATATTGCATTTTGTTAACTGTATTTTGTAACTGAAGGTCTAGAGGCAAATACTGTAACATACAAATGACCAATCCCTTCTCCAGGAATTTGTCACGAATAAACTAGATTCGAAGTAAGAAGGAAAAGTCACTGGAAGATACAGACAGAAAGGACACAGAAGAGAAATGAATGGAAATAAAACAGCATATCAGAGATTTCAGAAACATCAAGGCAAATTAAGTTTATATAAAAATCAAAGAATAAAACCACATTGAGAAGGTGGTTCTCATATGACAAATCTCAGAGATAATAATATGCAGGCTCTTCCATATTGTTTTGGAAAACAATGAGAGTATTAATTTGCTGTGTTCCAACCTTTTTGGGAGGAGATGTTGTACATTCAAGGTACTATTTCTATTATTATATTCCCTAACTTTATAACTTGAAAATGTTATTTGCATAAATAGAAGTTTTTAAAATTGAGGTGAAGTAAATAAAAGTCAATATAAAAGATCTGAATGAAAGATTTTGGAGATATTTTTCATTCTTTGTTGGAAAATTTAGCTGCAAATTTAAGTATGATGCAACCTATAGGACTTTCTCCGCTACTATGGCAGATTTCAAGAACTTTGTAAACAATGAGTAAACTGGACAAAATATATGAAACAACTATTTACAGACATTGGATAATTAGCAGCACAAAACTGTGATTCCTAAGAAAAGATAAACAAGTGGGGTGAGCCCTACAGTTACTTGAAGGTACATAAATTCAGGAATGTTAAGCAGGGAGGGGGAAATCAGGACAGTCTCATTGTGTTAAGGTGACAGAGATAAGAGTTCAGAAAGGCTGAGCCAATTAGAAGTTACAGGGCAGTAACAGAGGAAACACATAGAAATAGAGCTCTAAAGATCTACATGGAGTCTCCCTGAGTCTTTGCTGAATACTAAACCATATTTGTATAGTTTGAGCAACTGGAAAGCTACAGGCTAGAAAATTCACAGGCTTCACACAAGAAAGAGAGACTCTGGAGTTCTAACCAGCTTGAGTGGAAAAAATCCTCATTGTGTAGTAGGGTCATTCAGTAGAAACCTCAGAAAGGCCATGCCTTCGTACTAGTGTCAAACTCTACTAGGAAACGCTACTCAAGACTTCCCCTAATGAAGCGTAAGAAAAGCCTTGAAAAGATCAAGCTAGCAAGGTCAATTATCTGCCAGAACAAAGCTCAACACTCTTTATAAGAAAAAAACCAAAATCCAAACACTCAACAATATAAAAATCTACAATATCCAACATCCAATAAAAAATCATTATAAGGAGAAGCAGTATTCAATAGAAAGAGACCCAGAAATGCACAAGCATTGGGATCAGGAGAATATACTAATGTTAAGGACTTGAGGGAAAAATAAAAAAAGAACATGAGAAAAGATACAAAGAGATTTTAAAAAAACCGCAAAATGAACTTCTAGATTGAAAGAAAAAAAATGCTTCAATGAATTAACAGAAGATCAAAGAAGAAAAACAATCAGTAAACTTGAAGACAAAGCAGTAAAAACTGAAATGCACAGAGAAGAAAAAAGCTTTAAAAGATGAAAGAGTCTTAGTGACCTATGAGACAAAAAGCCATCTAACACAATTGTGATTAGGGTCAGAAGGCAGGGGATGAGAGAAATAATATTTGAAGAATTAGTGAGTGGACAAAACATTTTTTTCATTTTGATGGAAACTATAAATCCACAGATCAATGCTCAACCACCTCCAAGTAGGATAAATACAAGAAAAGCCACACCAAGATACACCATCATCAAACTGCCACAAAACCAGGCTAAAAATCTTAGACACAGATTTCTGTGTAGGGGGTTCAGCATCCCCAACTACCATGTTGTGCAGGGGTCAACTGTATTTGAAAGTCGCTAAGACAGTAGATCTTAAAAGTTCTTATCTCAAGGAAAAAATGGTTTTTTTGGTACTGGTTATAGATGTTAACTAGACTTGTGGTGATTTCACAGTGTATTAAATAAGTATTTGTACACCTGCAAATAATATAATATTATATATCAGTTATATTCAATATAAAAAAATTTTTAAATTCATTTTAAATAAGAAGTTAAAAAAACCCTCAAATCTATGCAAAGAATACAAAAAACTGGGAATGACAAATATGTGGATAAATGTTTTTACATGAATATAAATTTTTTATATTCTTTAAAAATTTTTTAAATAGACTATTAAAAGCAATATTAATTATAATAATAATAGCAATAATAATACATCACAGGGTTTTAAGATATATAGAAGGAAAATGTATGACAAAATAGCAAAAAGGTTGGGGGAGTTCACTGTTTTTAAGACTCATATAAAGTGGTATAATTTTATTTGAAAATAGACTGTATTTAATAAGATAAAGATGCATGTTATGAATCATAGAGAAACTTAGGAAAAAAATACAACAAAGAGGTACAACTAACAAGCCCAAAGAAGAGATAAAATGGAATGTTATAAATACTCAATCCAATAGACTGGAGGACAAAATCAACACAACCAACAAATGGCCAAAGAGTAATAAACCATACCAATGAATATATTTTTATAAAGGGTAGAAACACTTCAATTAAAAGTCAGAGATTGTTAGATTGGACAAAAAAGGAAAATCCAGCTATATGCTAACTATCATTTTAAATATAAAAACAAGGACACGTTAAAAGTCAAAGGTAGAAAAAGAAATACCTACTGAGCTATGCTTTAGAGACACTGGTCCTGGCTCCATAGATTCCTCTAGTCCTTTTCCTGTCTTCCTAATTGGTCCACTGCCCACTCCCAACAAATGAGGCAGCAGTGCACTTTCCATCATTTCTTAGCAGCTCAGATTGTAACATAGGCACTTCACTCTACCTGATCAAAGCTCTTTCAAAGATATGGTTTTACTTTTATTTTTCTCCTATCAATGTCTTTATTAATAGTTATATTATCTTTTCAAGTATTGTACATTTTTAAACCAATGAAATTACCTGCCAATTCTTCATGTTTCGATTCATACTCATGTTTATCTTCACTTAGTTCTACATTAGCTTGATAACTGAAAAAAAAAATTATTTATTTATTTAAAAGATTTTATTTATTTATTTGACAGAGAGAGACACAGCGAGAGAGGGAACACAAGCAGGGCGAATGAGAGAGGGAGAAGCAGGCTTCCTGCGGAGCAGGGAGCCCGATGCGGGGCTCAATCCCAGGACCCTGGGATCATGACCTGAGCCAAAGGCAGACGCTTAACAACTGAGCCACCCAGGTACCCCCAAATTTACTTAATTTAGTATTAAATGTTAATAATACATTTCCATGGATTCTTTTACATATATATTTTAAAAATCTCTAGCATTATACTTTTCTTCTCAAGTACTCTTATTTTAACAAAAACTAAAAATTTGGGAGTTACAAAGAAAATGTTTTGAAAATAAAGGATCCTCAAAGCCTAATTGAAGCTATCAAATTAACACAAAGAAAAAAATGCCATAACTTAACTTTATACACAAATACACGCAATTTTATACATAAGTGTGTGCATTTACATGTCTCAGGGCCCAGATATCCTTTCTACACTAAAGATTAGAAATTGACCACATGAGAACCAGTGAAGTCTACATGGAGGCCAGAAAAAATGTCAGGTTCAGCATTTACCTGTTAATAAGCAATTTAATCATGACATAGAGGGTGAATAGGAACCTTAAACCAATAAAAACTCAGAAAAGTAACAAAGGAGCTTGAGCAAATTTTAATTATATTGGATTAGTTCATATACTGCTTTCTTTCTTTTTTTTTTTTTTTTTTTTTTTTTTTTTTTTTTTTTTTTAAAGATTTTATTTATTTATTTGAGACAGAGAGAATGAGAGACAGAGAGCACGAGAGGGAGGAGGGTCAGAGGGAGAAGCAGACTCCCTGCTGAGCAGGAAGCCCGATGCGGGACTCGATCCCCGGACTCCGGGATCATGACCTGAGCCGAAGGCAGTCGCTTAACCAACTGAGCCACCCAGGCGCCCTATACTGCTTTCTTTCAAACCAAGGAATCCACCCTACTTTTTTCAGTCTATCAACCTTGTCTTTAGTGAGATTATCAGCAAATCAAGAAGCTGTGACTATAATAATAGCAGCAACAATATTCTATACACAATGTTATTTAGCACTCTGACTCGCCTGTCCTAAAGCAGAAATATCAGTAGTTAAGAATACTGTTAAGAAATAAAAAGGGGCACCTGGGTGGCCCTGTTATTAAGCGTCTGCCTTCAGCTCGGGTCATGATCCCAGGGTCCTGGGATCAAGCCCCGCATCAGGCTCCCTGCTCGGTGGGAAGCCTGCTTCTCCCTCTCCCACTCCCCCTGCTTGTGTTCCCTCTCTCGCTGTGTCTGTCAAATAAATAAATAAAATCTTTAAAAAAAAAAAAGAAATTTAAAAAGTTAAATATTACAAAGGGGCCAAAACTTGTAGCCAACTTGTGTATACTTAATCTGTGTTGTTACTATTGGGAGAGGCAATCGCCAAGGGCCCTGAGTGTCCCTGCATGTTCTTGTGGGGTATGCCAGGAATGCAAGGCACAAACCTCTCTCTCCTAGGTTATTTCCCAAGATTGTGTTTGCAGAGAGCAACCTTGAGAGATGAGACCGTATCTCCTTCCAGAAAAGAAGCAGGCTTATTTCCTCTTACTATAAAAGCAATGGATTCCCCAAGCTCAGTGCTCCTCTCCTATAAAGCAACCCACTGCCCATGCAGACAGCCATCATGGACCCTCCATGTTGCCTCCACAAGCTTTGTGGAGCATGGGGGAACTGAGGCAAATAAACATGAGACTCAGATATGGCTTTTATTGTGAGAAATAAAGTCCTTTGTTTCTGACCCAGGAATCTTGTGTCTACTATCTGCATCCATAAAACTGGCAGGGTAACTTGTTAGCTTACAAGCAGGGTAAAAATCTCAAACTCTATAAAATTCATGAAAGTGACTGCACTGCTTTATCCATGGTCTGTAAGAAACTAAGCATCCTAAGGAGACCAGGTACTCTAATAAGAGGTAATGATTCTCCTCACCCTTAATTTAATTATAGTTTGGTGTTCTTAAAATCTTGAAGTTGTAATCTGGCTTCCATTTATAATTTTATTTTTTTTATTTTTATTTTTTTAAGATTTTATTTATTTGACACAGAGAGAGAGAGAGAGATCACGAGTAGGCAGACAGGTGGGCAAAGGGAGAGGGAGAAGCAGACTCCCCACTGATCAGGGAGCCTGATGCGGGGCTCAATCCCAGGACGCTGGGATCATGACCTGAGCTGAAGGCAGCCGCTTAACGACTGAGCCACCCAGGTGTCCCTCCATTTATAATATATAATTTTAAAAGGTCAAAGGTCTACTGTACTTACAGAAGGCCAGCTCAGTCAACTAGTAGGATTTTCAGGATAAGTGAGGTTTCCTGATAATCATCAGGGTCAACCATATACAAAGGGAGGACGGAGACAAAACCTGTCTTGACTCCCTGGTTCACCCTTTCTTTTATTTTTTTCTCTGAGTTTATGACAGCTACCTGAACTCTCTTATTTACTTCATCTGTGGAAAATCACTTAAGAAGCTACTTTCCTAGTAAGGTCTTTTTGCAGTGCGCCATTAGTCTCAGTAGCATCGCACGCATGACATTTCAGATACCTGGATGCAGAGTGAGCTCTTAAACACAAATCAACATATTCCATTCATATATTAGGGAAACCAGGATCGAAAAAATGAACACAGAAAAGAGATAAAAATAAGGGAAGCCTGGGTAGCTCAGTCATTAAGCGTCTGCCTTCGGCTCAGGTCATGGTCCCAGGGTCCTGGGATCGGGCCCCGCATCGGGCTCCCTGCTCCTCAGGAAGCATGCTTCTCCCTCTCCACTCCCGCTTCCTGTGTTCCTGCTCTATCTCTCTCTCTCTAATAAATAAATTAAAAAAATATATATAGAAAAATACAGAAACCATTTAATGATTAGTTGATATTGTACATACATTACCTATGTAAACCTTTAAATTGTGTGGAGTCATTAGAATCCAGTTCCTTATTTAATCTTGAATAATCAATGGAAGATGTTAAGCCTTCCTCAAGCCTGGCAAAAAATTGCTCTTTTTCTTCTTGTTCTTCTAATGTGTCCAATCCCAATCCAAGAACACTATGATTGAGTTCAGAAACTACTATCTCTAAATGAAAAGGACAAATATACTTTATTAATATGCAGAATTTTGAATTTTGATAAAATTAATTTGAATGATGCATTTATTGATATTAGTAAAATTAAAAAAATTTAAAACATGCATCTCTCACCCACTACATATAGACTTGTATTCATAATCAGTATGTACGGTTATAAGGCTTCCCTCAAGATCTAATTCTAAACCTTCTAAGGAAGGTATTAAGAATGTCTACATGCTGGGGCGCCTAGGCGGCTCAGTTGATTGAGCGACTGCCTTCGGCTCAGGTCATGATCCTGGAGTCCCGGGATCGAGTCCCGCATCGGGCTCCCTGCTCGGCGAGGAGTCTGCTTCTCCCTCTAACCCTCCCCCCTCTCATGTACTCTCTCTCTCTCTCTCTCATTCTCGCTCTCTCAAATAAATAAATAAATCTTAAAAAAAAAAAAAAAGAATGTCTACATGCTTCAGTAAAGGAGGCTCCAAGATACAGGTTAGTTTTTGTAAAAATTTTAATTGAGTATAGTATAATTATAGTATTTAATTTAATTAAGCATAGTAATTAATCTGTCAACTTGTATCCCTCACGTTTCTTACCATTTGTTTCTAAGCTGTCAATACTTAAGATAGAGGTTCCACTGCTCTGAAGAAACTGAATCCTTTCAGCAGACTCCTCTTGTATTTCCATAATAGGCTGAGAAGGCCTCTTTGCTTTCAGATAGCTTACATTTGTTCCAAGCAGTCCTAGGGATGGGATTTAAGATATAGCTGGATATTTATGCTCAGAAAACTGTTCTGACCACTATGTATTAGCCAGTAATACTGTTATACTAACTTTTTTTCCATTATGCTAATTTTGTAGACAGTAGCTACAAAATAAATCTGGTCTATTAAATAAGAATCCATCAGACCTAAAATTCACAAAAGAAAAATTATAACACTATTTATTTGCATTGTATTTTATTAAATAATCTCAAAAGTTTACATGAGACAAAATTTTAAAAATTACTTTGAAGCACAATTATTTAATACAGTATACCATGCCACTTTGAAGAGTATCTTCTGCCTTATATGAAGGAAGAATAGGTGAACTAGAAAAGGGAAACAACTCCAGGTAGGGTGGAGACAAGGTACAAAGGGTCAGCAATGGGAGGGCAGGCAACACTGGAGGACGCAAAAAGACCAGTGAGGTTGAATCTAGAGAGTGAGGGTGAGTCCAGGTAGAAATGAGCCCAGAGCAGGAGTCAATGGTCAGACCAGGCCAGTACTCATAGCCATGGATAGCATTTTTCTCTTTATGCCAAAAACACTAGAAAACACTGAAAATGCTATGCAATATTCAAAATTTGTCATAATAGCATATATTTGTTATAAAAAAGTAAAAAACGGAGAAGTTATATAATTACATTGTGTATATATTAAGATTAGAAGAATATCATTTTGCTTAGAAGGAAGTCTTATTAAGAGGTCAAAAATTCTGGAAACAAGACAAAACCAGAGAGGGAGACAAACCATAAGAGACTTCTAATCTCAGGAAACAAAGTGAGGTTGCTGGAGTGGAGGGGGGTGGGAGGGATGGGGTGGCTGGGTGATGGACACTGGGGAGGGTGTGTGCTATGGTGAGCGCTGTGAATTGTGTAAGACTGATGAATCACAGACCTGTACCCCTGAAACAAATAATACATTATATGTTAATAAAAAAAAAGTCACAAATTCTGAACTGGAGGGTTCAGAGAAATAAGTCAATCAGAGAATGATAATCATCATATAGTTTCACTCATATGTGGAATATAAGAAATAATAGTACAGAGGATCATAGGGGAAAGGAGGGAAAACTGAATGGGAAGAAATCAGAGAGGGAGCCAAACCATGAGAGACTCTTGACTCTGGGAAACAAACTGAGGGTTGTGGAAAGGGAGGTGGGTGGGGGGATGGGGTAACTGGGTGATGGGCGTTAAAGAGGGCACATGATGTGATGAGCACTGCACGTTATACACAACTAATGAATCATTGAACACTACACCAAAAACTAATGATGTAATATATGTTGGCTAATTTAACTTAAATTAAAAAAAAAGTCAAGTTCTGACTTCAGTTTCCTAATTAGTATACTCCTGGAAAGGATTCCAATCTATTTTTTATGGCTTTGTGTGAATAATGGTTTTATAGATCAAATAATAACTTCCATGGTTGCAGAAAATCAAGAGACGTTATCTATAGACACTTCAAAAGAAAAAGGGTATGCCATGGTTGGGGTACTGTTGTGGTGCCTATGTGGGTCTCACCTTGGCTCTGAAGCTGGACTCAGGGATGTGACCCATACTAACTGAGCTTACAAGAGACTAATGACCAAAACCAATATCCAATTTAGTTATTCATAATGAAGAGTATGACCAGTAGAAGGATTAGATTGTTTCATCCTCTAGGCAGAACATTTCATCCTTATGGCAATTGAAAGAGAAAATTATAAGGTTGAAGTAGCTCAATGTCGATGTTTAATGATGTCTAAGATTGGGGCGCCTGGGTGGCTCAGTCGTTAAGCATCTGACTTTGGCTCAGGTCATGATCCCAGGGTTCTGGGATCCAGCCCCGCATCGGGCTCCCTGCTCAGCGGGAAGCCTGCTTCTTCCTCTCCCACTCCCCCTGCTTGTGTTCCCTCTCTCACTGTCTCTCTCTCTGTCAAAAAACAAAAAAATCTTAAAAAAAAAAAAAAGGTGTCTAAAATTGGTAATGCATTCCTCTCCTCAAGAGGGTGTTTACTTCCCCCTCAGAAGCTTCTACACTCTTGATGGCAGGAATCCTATTGTCTGTATACTAGTGCCTAGTATGCCCAACATAACATGAACTCAGAAATGTTTGTGATTGAACCAGGGACCAGGTTATGTTCTTGCGTGGAGAAACCCTCTCCTTAGTATTTAAATGGATATCGTCAAAGTTTACTTCTTAAATATCCTTCTTTGAATCTTTTACTAATCAAATCCATTCTGATTGACAAATTCTTTCTTAAAAATTAATACCTTTAGTCAGGTTACATTCAAGTGTTGGTCCAGGACCTAGGCTTTCCCTTTGGGATGAGTATGCACATTCCATCTCTGATTCATTACTTTCTAGAAAGAGACTTTAATGCTAATTCAGTCTCAAATCTTTGTGAACAATTCCAATGGTACTTCATCATGTAATATTCTTTTCAAGCACCAACAGGGAAAAGATTCTAAAAAAGAATTCTTTGCATGCAAACTTCAGCATTGTTATGTGGTTGGGGGATTTATGAAAAAATGCACTGAATTTTTCAGTAAGGCACTTCCTTATTTTAGTTTTAAGAACAGAGAAATGACTATCAAATTTACTCTAACATTCATTTATTAAATACATTTATTATTTATTTACTGTTGGGGTCAGGGGATACAAACAAAAAGAAGTGTTTCCTGCTCTCACAAAGCTCCCAACCTCAGGCATAGCCCTACAGGTAATGACTATCAGCACAATGTGTAAGTGCTACTGTGGTGTTCTGAAATCAAAACAAAGAAGAAAATAATTATGCTGGAAAGGGAGCTGGAAGAGTTAGGAAAGAAAGATGAGAAAAGGCATTCTAGTGGTGAGAAAGCATGAGCTAATGCACAGAGGCACAGAGTCAATGATGTTTCCAGGAGACAGGGAATAACTGAGTATGGCTGGGGCACAGGAAACTAGAAAGGAGGGTCCTCTTCAGATGATGCAGAGCCTTAGTGGGCACATTAAGGAATCTGGGCTTAATTTCATGGGGAAAAACAAAAGCTATGGGGCAAATTTCTCCCCTAGGATAGAAAAATCCTCTAAGTTTATAAAATGCTGCTTAATGATCCATAAATAGTACAAACATAGGTTAAGAGAAGTAGTCTGGGGTTCCTTATGGATACGGCAGTATCATATACAGCAGGTATACCAAAGCAAATACTCCAGAGAGTACTTTTCCATTTGTGAAGAGGTGACTAAGAACAGTTTGGGGAAAGGTATACACATATGTCAGGCAGGATCATTAATGAGTTCTTTACCATTAAGGCAATAAATTACTTTTTTTACTACTGTTATTAACAGACTGTGATACCAAAAATCTAAAGATTTGTTAAAATGTTCCCAATGTAATGGCATTAATACATTGTCCAAATATTTATTAAATCACCTTAAATCAATTTACCATTATACATGACAATGTAGAAATATACATGTATTATTCATCATCTTAACTTGAGTAAATATAAAATTATCCCAATGTAATATAACCTGATAATGCAGAAACATCATAGATTCTCAATTACATAATAAATATATAATAAAGTGAATATGAAAAGTCAAGCTTCAAAAAGTCACACTACTAGTATTATTTTCTTTATATAGGTATAGTCCAACAACAAAACCCCAAAATTAAAAGTCTTGACTGACACCTTGTGGTCAAATAATTTGGAATAAAAAAATCAGCAGTATTTACCACCATCTTCAAAATCATCTTCAGTTATCCACCATGGCACTGCATCTTTCTTTTTCACTTCTCTTTTAGGTTGTCTAGGTGTTTTATTTGAATTCTCAAAAGAATCATCTGAAAGCTAAATCAGATACAAGCTACTGAATTAAAACTCGAGAATCCCACATTCATCACTAAAAATGTTTCTTTTATTTTTTTCACAGTTCAGCTATCATGTACATAAAAAATATTCTCAGCAATATGTAAATTTGTACTTTTAAACATACATGGCTAAAATAACTTAAAAATCAAGCATACATCTCTGAACATCAATTTCATATCTAGAGTTAAATAAGTAAACTAACCAGGGAGAAAACATCAACGATAACAACAAAGAAATAAAGAAAACTTATCAAGAAACTTGATCAAGAAGGGGAAAAAAAGAATTATGCTATCCTCTTCTAGACAATCTCTAGGATCTAAGAATAAATAATGATTGAGCAAAAGTTACCCAGCATCACTCTCAAAGAGCACAAAATTCTAAGATGAACTGAATTTCAGGTGTTTACCAGAAAAATTAGTATTTTGTCACAATGATCAATAAACTTTTATTTGTCCTTTTCTACTCTTCAGGTCCAAATTTCAGTACAATCCTAAATCCCCTAGTCTAATCCTAATTGACCCATCGCCACCACTCTCAGTCAGTAACTTGGTCTCTCTCTTCACTGAGAAAATAAAGACCTTCAGTCAAAAACCACCCTCCTTTCCCTTACTCCACCATTACACTCACCCGTAAAGACACTGCTTTCCTCTCTCAGAAAAGAAATTCTTTCCTCCACACCAAGGAGAACTTGAAGAGGGGTCAATCACTTCCCACCTTTCTAGGTTCTTACTTCCTTGGTCATCCCATGTCATCTCCATATCTGCACTTCCTCCTCTCTCTCCCCTCCCTCCTTCCCTCAGGTTTAAACCAGCCCATCTCTGTAACCTCAGGCCAAAGCACAACTGTGAAATGGAAGAATGAACATTCAGTTCTATACCACCTTTTTTAAAAAAAAGCAAAGCAGGGAGCGCCTGGGTGGCTCAGTTGTTGAGTGTCTGCCTTTGGCTCAGGTCATGATCCCAGGGTCCTGGGATGGAGCCCGACAACGGCTCCCTGCTCAGCGGGAAGTCTGCTTCTCCCTCTCCCACTCCCCCTGCTTGTGTTCCCTCTCCCGCTGTGCCTCTGTCAAATAAATAAATAAAATCTTTAAAAAAAAATCAAAGCAAAACAAAACAAACAAGATCCTTATTCCTACCTCCCCTTTATTCTACCTATTACTTTTCTTTTACACACCATTTTCTTGAGTTTATTGCTCAACCCTTTAAAATCTGGTTCCCATCCCAAACAGCTCTCCTCCAGGTTGCAAAAGTCTCCTAAAAGCCACAAATAAAGGACCACTGCCTGATCACATCATGGAATTTGATACCAGTGACTGACTCTTCCTGAAACTCTGTATGTTTGATTTCACAGCATCACTTCCTCCAAATTATACTTCAGTTCTGTGACCTTTCCCACCCGTCTATTTTAATAAGTCTTGGTTCTTTTGCCCATTTCTTTACACTAGACTTCCCCAGGACTCTGTGCTTGTCCTTTTTATCTTCACTCTACACACTTCTCCTGGAGAAGAAACCAACATTTATTCCATGCCTGCTATATGTCAGGATATATAACCAGGTTATCTCAATCTTTAAGCAATTCAATCAAGATTTATTGATGGGGAAACAAGCTCAGGGAGGTTAAGCAACTTGCCCCACTTGCTACTGTTAGTAAGTGTTACAGACCTGGGATTCAAACCGAGGTCTGAGAACACCTGTCCACTTTCCACTATACTATGTAGTCCCCGAACTGGGACAATGTCACCAGGATGCCCTTTTAAACTTCCAAGATGACAATGCACAAATTTCCACCTGCCAACCAAACAACTCTATCTCAATGACTTAAAATAATGTCAATTTTAAAATGTTCAAAAAGAAATCATTGTCTTTCCTGACAATTAGGCAGGAAGAGGGGAAGAGGGAAGGAAAAGTATTCTTTGTCTGAACTGTAGTTCCATCACTTTCCACTCAGTCTCTAAACTTGATCATCACCTTGAAATGTTCCATTTCTCTCCTCCCTATATCTCACTGTTCACCAAATTCTGACAATCTGCCTTAGACTCAGTCTGTTCCTCGTAAGCCCCATGGCCAGATAAGAGTGTGGAAGGAATATAGGTTTCGGGGGCCAGACAGATCTGAGTTCAAATTTTAACTTCAAAATATACTAGTTGTTGCTTAGGGAAAATTATCCTCTCTTTTCAGCTTGTTCATCTGTTAAAAAATAGTCATAGTACCACTGACCTTGCAAGCTTATGACAAAGATCAGAAAATGAAATGCAGAGTGCTCACCCTATCATCTAATACATAGTAGGTAGTCTCACTTTTGATAATCTTCCACACTGCTTTCCAGATTCCTATCATTAAAAACAAAACACAAAAGCTGGTCCCCAGAGAATAACCGTACTCTGGTGAGCATATGGAGAAACTGGAATCCTTATATACTAATACACAGCTGGTGGGAATGTAAAATGGCACAGCTACTTTAGAAACAGTCTGGCCATTCCTCAAAAGGTTAAACATCGAGTTACCATATGACCCACGACTTCCACTACTAGGTATACACACAACAGAAATAAAACATACATCCACACAAAAACCTGTACATGACTTTCCATTGCAGCTTATTTATAAACGCCAAAAAGTGGAAAGAACTCAAATGTTCATCAACTGATGTGTGGATAAACAAACAAAATGTGGTAAACCCATACAATGGAATGTTATTCAGCTATAAAAAGCAATGAAGTACTGATAGATGCTACCAAATGGATGAACCTTGTTTCAACCTATGTTGAATGGAAGAAACCAGTCACAAAAGACCACATATTGTATGATTCCATGTCTATGAAATGTCTATAACAAGCATATATTCAGAGACAGAAAGTCTGGATTAGTGGTGCCAAAGGCTGGGAAGGGGGTAATTGCTAATGGGTACAGGGTTTCTTTTAAGGATGATAAAAGTGTTCTAAAAGTGATTGTGGTATTGGTTGCATTGCTGTGAACAAACTAAAAAACACTGAATTGTACACTTCACTTTTTTTTTTTAAGTAGGCTCCACGCTGAGCCTTCCCCCTCACCGCCAACATGAGCTCAAGACCTGAACTGAGATCAAAAGTCAGACGCTTAACCGACTGAGCCACCCAGGCACCCCTGAATTATAAACTTTAAATGGGTGAATTGTATGGTATATGATAACTCAATAAAGCTTTAGAAGAAAAAAAAAAAAAAAAAGCTGGTTTGCACCAATCTCCTTACAAACAGAGATAGGTAAGCCATATCACTGAACAAACTATTTGAACAGTAACTTAGCAAAATGATTAAAGAAGTTAGCATGACTCTAAAATCATGGTTTTCATTATTTAAAAAAACGAGATGCTGCCTTATCCAAATCTCTAGCATGAGAAAAAAGCTTTTACCAGTTGAGCCTGAATATGAGAGAAAGAGTGGGAGGGAGGGAGGGTGTTGAAAGGGAGCTAAATGAGGGGCAAAAGGAAAAAAAATTGGCCTGTACCGCTTTTCATCTTTTACAGTGAAAACAATTCCTATAAAGTTTAATTTTCAAAATGTACCCATATTTGAAATTTAAAAAATCAGTTTTCAAATGGGAAGTGAGATTCTTATCCTGAGTGTCTATTACATTCAGATAATCATTAGATGCTTTTTTATTTTTATTTATTTATTTTTTAAGATTTTATTTATTTGACAGACAGAGACACAGCAAGAGAGGGAACACAAGCAGGGGGAGTGGGAGAGGGAGAAGCAGGCTTCCTGCAGAGCAGGGAGCCCGATGCGGGGCTCAATCCCAGGACCCTCGGACCATGACCCGAGCCAAAGGCAGACGCTTAACGACTGAGCCACCCAGGTGCCCCTAGATGCTTTTTTAAATCCTTACAAACCTACAAAGTAAGCATTACTTTTTCCTGTTAATGAAACTGAGGTTTTCTACTACACCCTACATCTAAACTCCCTTTATGAACAAGAATGTTAGTATAATTGCTTAAAATGTGACTCCTGAATGCTCTACATGGCCTATTTATATTAAATACATCGGATATAGTGCGACCCTCTAATTTATTCATTCAGCCAGTATTTACTAAGCATCTATTAGGTACAACAGGTATAGCAGTGAACATATAGCTGTCACATCACGAATCACACATTCTTACAACGGGAGGCAGGAAACAGACCGACACAAGGAAAATAATGAATAGTGCCAAGTGCTACACAGAGAATTAAATATATGGTACACAAAGAAGTCACTTGCTGTTACTTTTTTACTACATTAACAGAAAAAATGTTAATTTCTGTGGTAGTGATAAATTTAAGATGAGATCGTTAACAATCAGGTGAAGAAAAGGGGAACAGAATTATTGGCAGAAGGAACAGCTCGTGCACAGCTCCTTATGTGAAATGAGCTTGGCATGTCTGAGGGAGAAAAAAGGCCACTAGAGCATAAGTAGATAAGGAGGAAAAGAGGTATAAAGTGAGTGAGGAAGACATGAGCAAAATCATCTAGGGCTTTGTAAACCATGGGAAGAAGTTTGGAGTTTATTCCGTTGGGGATGGGAAGCTAACAGAGTGTTTTACAAAGAAGAGGAACAATCTGATTCATGTTACAGATCACACTGGCTGCAGTTTGGTAAAGGAATGGGGGGACCGTATATGGGAACTGTTATAGTAGCCCAGGAGAGAAGATGGTGCCCTGGACTAGGATGGCAGCAGTGAACAGGAAGAGACCTAGGAAGAGGACAGATATATTCTGGAGGAAGAGTTGACAGAGCTTGGTGATGGACTTGTGAAAATGAATACAGGGGAAACCCCATTACTTAAAATACAATTGGGAGGTCGGAAGGGGGAGCTCTCACACCCTATCAATTTGTCATCAACTGCAGACTCCAACAAAGAAGTGTATCTTGCATTTTCCAACAGGAAGATGTTAATGTTACTACCCCAGCAGGAGGAAGAAAGGCTTCTCTTCATGCCCAGCAATAGCTCTGCCAATGAGAA